TCTCATGGTGCCTTGAGTCAATGAAAAGCTTATAGAGCAACACCTCGAGGGCAAAACACCGGTCGTGGTGATCGTCCATGGGTCGACTCGGGGGGTGGACCGGTTCGACGATTATCGTTTTCCTTGCCAAAAGGAGAGATAGAGATCTTTCATCATTGGTCAATGTTAATAGCAAAGTCGCAGTATTCCGTTTTCTGTTGACGGTGTTTGTTAACCAACCCCTGGAGCAAGTTACTATTTGTCTACGGCACGATGATTTTTTTCTTTTTCTTTTTTTTCCAACGCTTCCTTCTAGTGCGTGGACTCCACCGGAATCCACCATTTGTTGATTTTTGACTTTTTCCTTTTTGATTTCTATTCTTTCCTCCGATCTCCGTCAACTCCTAGTCTCCTACTCCTATGCTTTGGCGCTAATAGGTTGTGAATCGATGGCTTCATCGTACTAGTCCATTTTTAGAAGAGTCTGGGTTGAGGAATTGGTTGAAAGGGCCCTTGGTCTGTGATCAGTACTATCCCACAGACTGCCGGGCTCTGGAGAATGTTGGGCAAGCTGCCGAAGTATAGCCTGTGATCCAGACTGGCGACCTGCATGGTTCGGATTTCGAGTTAGTGAACCCCGTTGCCAGAAATAGTATGCTCGTCCTGCTTGGTGTGTTTCGAAGGTTTCCACATTAAACGTTAGCCCAATGTCATTTGCTTTCCCACTGGCAGTTAGGGATCCACCCGGCTAACTTGGCCTTGAAGATCCGGCTCGATCACAGATACTCCAGTTACTCCCAGGGGCCGTGTGCTAACTTCCAATGAGGGAAAGCCGGGCTGGGGTGCGGTCTCCATCGCACAAGGTAGTAACCATGGAAGCAGACGCCTCAGGGGTATATAAACCCCAGCGAAGATCACCTCTCTCTGAACTTCAAGCCTTCGTCAATCGCTTCAACTTGGTCTCTTCAGTCGGGGCCTGCCTTTCATTTTTATTTTGTTTGATATTGTTCTTTTTTTTTACCAGTCTGTCGTTAACAAACTTTGGCTGCTAACAGCCAGTCATCTTTTCTTTTATCTTTTCTGAAGTCATTCGCTGACTGCATTCCACATTCGTTGATATCTTAGCATAATGCGTGCTAACAACCTTCTGTTGCTCGCCGGTCTGGCGAGCTCCGTTGCTGCTTACCCCACCGATATCGAGAGCCGTACTCTTGGCCCCCTTCTGGAAGGTATTGGCAAGGGTATTGCCGATATTGGTGAGGGTGTTGGAGAAGGGATTGAGGATGTCACCAAGGGCTTGGCCGGCCTGATCAGCCTCCTCTTGGGTGGCAGCAGTGGCCATACCACAGTAACCATCCTCGAGGGAATCAGCGCTCAGGCAGCCGCGGCCCTCCAGGGTGGTGCTTTGGGATGCACTGCTGGTACTATCCATGCCGACGCACGTGCGGAGTTGGTTGCATGGCTTAAGGCTCATGCTGAGTTTGATGCCTCTTTGAAGGCAGCCCTCGTGGCCTGGGCCCAAGGCGGAGCCTCCGCCACCTTGTCCGTGGATGTCTGTGCTGGACTGTCACTGTTCATCCCCACTTGTGCCGACATTGCCGCGAAGGGTGACCTGTATGTGACCCTTGATGGTGTCTTCTCCTCAACCGATCTTGCGGCCGAAGTTGTGCTCAGCGCTTCGGCTCAGTCTTCTCTGTCTACCTTCCTCTCTGGGCACCTTGGTCTTGGTCTCGATGTCGACATCAGGGCTGGTCTTGGCCTCTGTGCTGGCGGTGGTGTTGTCGCCGATCTGGCCGCGGATGTTAAGGCCGCCCTGAAGGCTTGGCTCTCTGGCTCGGAGTGCACCTTGAGCCACTCGTTGAAGGTCTCTGTTCTGGCCTGGTTGGAGGGTAAAGTCGAAACCGGTGTCGTCTCGATTGGCTCTGTTCCTTCCGGTGGTTTGGCGACTATCTCCGCTGGTGCTGCTATTGGCAGCCTTGTTGAAGAGTCTGGACTTCTGGTTGCCAGTGCCCAAGCTTCCCTCTCTGCCTTCCTCGAGACCGACATTGCTGCTGACCTTGAGGTTGAGATCCTCACCGCCCTCAAGGCTTGTGCTAAGGGTGGCCTCGCTGCTGATCTCAGCGTTGAAGTCCGTACCGCTTTGGCTATCTGGCTCTCTGGCTCCAGCTGCCGTCTTGGTGCCGAACTCAAGTCTGTTGTTCTGTTCTGGCTTACCTTTGCTGTTTCTGCCGATGTCGCGGTTGATGTGAGCGGTGGTCTTCTCACTGATCTCACCTCCTTCCTCACCGGAACTGTTGACACCCTTATCGGCACTAACCTCCGTGGTGTGATCTCTGTTCTCATCTCTGGCGAGAGCCTCGTCTCTGTTTCCCTTGATGCTCGTGCTCAGCTCGCTGCCGTCTGCGGTGGTGCTGCTGGTATTGAGATTGACACTCAGATTATCCTCGTCATCATCCAGTGGCTCTCTGGCTGCGACACCGGATCTGGCGCCCCCATCCGCCCTCCTCCTTCCGGCTCCGTTGTCCCCAGCATTCCCGCTTCTACGCCTGTTGCCTCTACTCCCGCTGTCTCAACTCCTCTTGTGCCGACTCCTGTCCCCACCAGTGCCGGTGCGACTGGCAGTGACGTTCCTTCCGTTCCCGCTGGATCTGCTACTACTGGTGTTACCTCCGGTGTTAGCTCAGGCTCTGTTGTGCCTACCCCTAGCGGCCCCGCTCCTAGCGATGAGGCCAGCACCACTCCCTGCGATACCATTACCTCTGAGACTGTCATTGGCAGCGCCACCACTGAGTATCCTTCCAGCCCCGCCCCCACTGATGTCAGCCCTACCGGTTCTGAGTCTGTGAGCGTTCCTGCTGTTCCTACTCCCAGCGGCCCTGCTTCTAGCGGCCCTGCCTCAAGTGACGAGGCCAGCAGCACTCCCTGTGATACCATTACCTCCGAGACTGTGATCGCCAGTGCCACCACTGATATTGTTCCTACTGGCCCTGCCGTCACTGGCGTTACTTCCGGTGTTAGCTCCGGTTCAGTTGTCCCTACCCCTAGCGGCCCTGCCCCGGGTGAAGAGGCCAGCAGCACTCCTTGCGACACTATCACCTCCGAGACCGTCATCGCCAGCGCTACTACTGACGTAGTCCCCACTGGCCCTGCCGTTACCGGTGTTACCTCCGGTGTCAGCTCTGGTTCTGTTATCCCTACTCCCAGCGGCCCTGCCCCCGGCGAAGAGGCTAGCAGCACTCCCTGCGATACCATCACCTCCGAGACTGTGATTGCCAGCGCCACCACTGACGTGGTTCCTCCTGCTCCCACTGACGTCAGCCCTACCGGTTCTGAGTCTGTGAGCGTTCCTGTTGTCCCTACTCCCAGCGGCCCTGCCCCCGGCGAAGAGGCTAGCAGCACTCCCTGCGATACCATCACCTCCGAGACTGTGGTTGCCAGCGCCACCACTGACGTGGTTCCTCCCGCTCCTACCGATGTCAGCCCTACTGGCTCGGAGTCTGTGAGCGTGCCCGCCGTCCCTACTCAGACTGGCCCTGCTGGTGAAGCCGAGACTACTCCCTGCGACACCTTGACTTCGGAGACCGTCTACCCCGTCGCCACCGAGACTGATGCTCCCTCCGTCAGCACCACCGTTGTCCCTCCTGTCATCACCACTGCCCCTGCTGTCAGCTCCGGCCCCGCTCCCAAGGTGGTCACCATCACCACCACCGTGAGCGTCGCTGTTTGCGAGCCTTAAATCAGCCAACCATATGGGCTGAGGATTACGAGACGATCGCAATGGCAGAAACGCTCAATATACCTCGTGTAAATACCTAATTCTAATTCTAATTCGCCTGGTTTTACCCCGATCATGCGTCGATGCTCTTTGCGTGGGGCTTGTGATCTGGGGGAGTACATGTTTCACTGACAAGGAAGACTTACGTTCTGGTTCTGCTTTATTCTTTTTGTGGATTCCCTTCAATGGAGTACATTCTTTCTTTTACAATATACCTAGATGGGACTCACGTCCTACTCCTGCCTGTATAGTACTTGACGAACTTTTAGTAATATGACGAGTATACTGTTCTCAATCTTATTTACAGCTGTATATTTGTATGTGGACCTCTATTAGGATATAGTCAATTCTTTCTAAATAAAAAATAAAGAAAAGGAATAGGGAAAAGAGAATATAAACAAATAAATGAATAAATACATAAATAAAAAAACCTAAGGTAAACTATGGAGTGTCAACGAGAGATCATCATCCCCAATAGACTAGTCATGCGCATAACCTCCTCCTGTGGACAATCAATATGACAGAAAGAAAACCCCACAGAGTACCCACATAAAACCCATGAGAAGACAACAGCTAAAGGATGTCACAAAATGCGCCCGTTGACTAGATATCAATAGCACGCATCCTGTGGATGTGTCCTAGCCGATCCCAATAAGTGGTGTCCGTTGTGATTAACAGGTTCTGCTTTTTCTAAAACCGGTCTTTCGAAAAGGGATATCGAATCGAGCCGTTAGAAAAGAATTAGTGGGATGCCGGTTCAAAGACTACTTATTCCTATTTCTGGGCGCGACGATCATCCCAACTATCGATGGGACGGACGAATTTTTGTTCCTGTTTTTCCGCTCAGGAGGTAAACGGTAACGTCCGAATAAGGAAAGGGTTTGCGAGATTTGAAATGAGGGCTTTTATTGTTTTCATTTTCATTTTTCTTTTTTTTTAAAAAAAATTTTATTTTCCCACTTTTGGAGGCTGTGCGCTGATTGTAGATGTTCCAATTATAAATCCATAAGTATATTATGCAACATACGGAGTACTCCGTATGCAAATCCGTTATGGGGAAGTAGACTAGTAGGCAGAGTGTTGACGTTTGCTGATCTGCCTTGTCATTGTGTATGCCTTTTTTTTTTTTTTTCCTTTTCTTTATTCCTCGAAGAGACTCGCTAATACTTTTTTGAAGTGTATGTAGATGGTATCATTCATTTCATGAAGTTTAAGATTCCTCCTATCTTTGATTCCACTTCGAGTGTCACGAATTGTCACTCACCTTGTCGCTAGAGGCGGTACGACGCATTGCGACGATCTTTTCGCGCAGAAGTTTCTCGCGTAGTTCAGTGCTGCATATTTGTGCACGAGGAGGTTGGATAGAGTATAGTTTCTGCTATTTACTGCGTTAGTCTAAACGTTGATCGTCCTAATAGACATAATTTTGGGGGTTGTAGCTGCCATGGCATTTATGAAAATCATTCTGGTTCAGCTCGAGAAGGAAAATACCTTTAGAATCATTGACCCACCTCTTCAGGATCCTTCATCTCGTGATCTGACGAGTTGGGCTTCTCAGGTGATGGCGACGACCGCTTTGCGGAGTTATCTTCCTGATCAGTCATTCTCTGTCGCTTTTCACTACGGACGGATACAGAAGAGGTGTTACGCCGTCTGCGGGCGGCAGGAGCATATCGCTGGATGGAGCGACGTCTCTTCTTTTCCCTGTTGTGGCTACGGCTGCGACTGCGGGAATCATGACGTCTCGGACTGGAGCTGGTGCTGCGAGAACGGCCTCGTCCTCGGCTGCGGCTACGGCTGCGACTGATACTCCTCGAGTACCGACGTCTGCGGGTATCATCGCGATTTCTGCTGCGGCTGCGACTCAAGCGGCGATCGTCACGGTTCTTGCGGGCCTTTGTAAAATCAGCGGTGGATTCTTTCTTATCAGCTCTTGAAGAATAAGGCGAAGATCTTCTCCGTCTGGCGCTTCTATTATCCGGCTCACGCGACCTAGAGCGAGATCTGGAATAATAGTCTTTTCTGCGCCGGTCCCTGGGAGCAGGTGAACGGGATGAACTGTGGGAAGAAACGGATCCCCGTCTCCGTCGGTCTCGTCTGGGAGTACGTGAGCGTGAGGAATCACTGCGGGAAATGGATCTAGCTCGATCACCGTAATCAGGACTACGTCTCCTCGGCCTCCTGTCTCTGTCTGGAGACACAGAGTTGCTAGGCGATCGGCGACGCCTGTTTCTGTCCCTGCTTGGCTGGCGTTCGCGACGAGGGGGTGGTGACCGAGACGCGGAGGGAGAACGTGAGCGGCTTGGTGATCTAGAAGGGCGACGGTTCCTGCGCGAACCCGAGGGAACGTAGGAGTCGAACTCGCGGCGTGAAGGCCGGTCCTGGAAGCGATCACGGCTGCGACGTCTGTCAAAGTCTCGACCTCCTCCGCGGCCACCACGCCTTCCACCCCTTCCCCGCTCAGAACGTTCCCTCCGCCTGAGCTCCTCTAGTTCTCGTTCTCGGACCCGTTCTTGTTCCTTCTGCCGACGAGCTTCTTCGGCCGCTTTTTCGGCTTCAATCTGTAATACAGTCAGTAGGGCAGAAGCGCAGCTAGGTATACTGTAACTTGCCTTCTCCTGTATGAGTTCGAGCTTCTTAGCCTCCAAAAGCTCCTTCGGGACACCCTGAGGATTTTCTTGCGCGCTGAGGCATAGGGACCAAAGCTCCTTGCAAAACTTCGCAGTATCCTTATCCAAGAAACCCGTAAGCTGGATTTGCAACGACTTGACATCGGGCTAGAAATGAATAGAACAATTAGTATCATCGTCTCATCGCGTAGTTCGGAAAGGAACACAACGTACATATCTAGACCCTTCAAGCAGATTGAAACAAAGCTCAATCACAACATCATCCTCATTTCCTAGGATCTCCGAGATCTTTCCGGCAATCCATCTGCGACCAAGTCACGCCTCACGGTCAGCATTTGAATTGACATTCAGGGAAAGCTCAACACACTTACTTCTTCATGACCTCAATATTGACCTTGGTCATGTCCACCTTCCGACTGAATTCGGGAGGGAACTTGGTCTGCTTCAGGAGCTTGGCATCCACGCTGGCCGCCATTTTTGCAAGCTGATGGTCTGATATCGGACCTACACTGGCGTTGGGAAAAGAGAACGCGTGAGACTCTAGTTATCGATCGATGAGACTGCGCTGTTGGCCGCACTGACAGGCCGTAGCGCAAGGAAAGCTCGGTGAATTGTCGGGCCGATGACCATCCAATGAATATGTCCGATTTGGAAGAGATGGGAAAAGACTCAAGTAGACACTGTCTAATCACTGCCCTTCTGAGATCTTGGAGAGCTTAGTCTCTTTTCTTCCGACAGATAATAAACAATCGATGTGTGAGTTGTGACTCCGAAAAGTCCTATAGACCAGCAGGAACTCGGATAGGCGCATATCAGCTACAATGCATTGATATCGGCGGGACGCGTTCCGAGTAGCTGTTGGCTTCATTTTGGTCGTCTTGATATATGTTCTCATTGAAAGATTAACGTAGTAAAGAAAACAAAACCCTTTCCTAAACACCGTTGAACAAACAACATAAAGATCATATCATACATGAGTACTTCATAACGACCCAGTTGCACACACCAATGACACCAAGATACACACGACGACGCATCTTATCATCAATGCCCAAGCTCCCTCAGAACACGATTCACATCCTCTCTCGCACGCGCCAGCTCCTCGTCCACTGTTCCATCAGCATGCCGCGCTTTAATCTCGTAATGTAAGTCGACGAGTTCCTTTGCGCGCCGGATATCGTCATTTGCCTTTTCGCCTTGCTGGCTTGCGACAGCAAGGCCGCCATCTGCTGGAGAGCGCTCGGCAGGTATTCTTTCGTGAACAGTGACGAGGGCGAGGGCGTCATTGTAATCCTGGATCCGTTAGTATGAGGGAGATTAGAATGCTGATTGGTGTAATGTAAGATGACAGAATTTATTCAAGGAACTGGCCTTGTTGATTTGGTTTGATTGACCTATCGTATCAAGGAATGAAAACGGCTACATACACAGACTCGTAATGAGGTCAAATCTGACAGTATCTCGGCTACTTGCATATTGATGAATAGGGGTTCTTGGTTTTGACAACTTGGCCTGTAACTCAAGAAGAGTGATTTGCGAAGCTATAACAGTAAAGCTATCGGTATGGGAGGTAGTAGTGAGACAAAGGGGGAAAACGTCTTGGCAGATATGCAGTATGCAGGTTCTACTCCTAGTCTATGTAAGATGGCATTCAATATGAGACTGTTTCATCCTTTAATAGAAGTCTATTTGTTTTTGGCTCTCAGCCGTGACGTAAGAAGTCGACATTTCGTTATGTCTATGGGAAGAGGAAGAATAAAGCCTTTTCAAATTTCCCCACAAACTAAAATCCCCAGAAATACGGAGTAGTACACAGTAACGTCAATGTGTCACCACTAGCATTTCCTATCAATTAAATCAATCTTCACGGATAAAGATATAGACACTGTCAACACTGATCGCAGGCACGTAACTCCGAGTCTCGGAGAATCCGACGCTTCTCCGCAGAAAAGACTTCGGACCCCAATTCCGGCGCATCGGCTCTTCTCCGACGGCAATCACGTATATTAACATAGCTCCATCCTGTCTCGCACACCTGCCCCTCATATTCTTTCAATTACAAAAAATTTATAATCACAATGGCAGCCTCAATTAGGGCTAACTGTCGCAAGGTCATTTGCATTGGCCGCAACTATGCGTGAGCTTCCCTTCCCCAAAGAATCATTCTAGGTAGATCGTACACCAGACTAACGCTTATCTGCGAAGCGACCATATTACGGAGCTCAATAACACCACGCCCAAGCAGCCCTTCTTCTTCTTGAAGCCCGCTTCGGCCATTCTGTGTCCTGGCGAGGGCCCCGTCTTACGTCCTAAGGGAACAAACCTACACTATGAGGTGGAATTAGCGTTGGTGATGGGCAAGACACTTCGGGATCATGACCCGAACGATGAGAAGGGAGCTTTGGATGCTATTCACAGTCAGTCTCCAGCACTCGGACGGCCTCTGCTTTTCTCAACACGCAAATTCGCAGACAGTTTTAGATGGCTAATAGTTCATTGTCTCCTACAGGCTACCTTCTCGGCATTGACATGACTGCCCGTAACGTACAAGACGAAGCTAAGAAGAAGGGTCTCCCATGGTCCATTGCCAAGGGGTTTGACACCTTCCTGCCTGTCTCCCAAGAAATCGCCAAGTCGCGAATCCCCAACCCTCACGATGCCTTCCTTCGTCTGAGCGTCGGCTCCGAGGTGCGCCAGGCCGACTCGACCGGGTTGATGCTTTACCGAATCCCAAGACTGCTGGGCGAGATCTCGCGAGTTATGACCTTGGAGAAGGGTGACGTGGTCTTGACTGGTACACCGAAGGGTGTCGGAGAGGTGAAGTCCGGAGATGTGATGAGAGCTTCCATCGAAGTCGACGGAAAGGAGATCGAGGAAGGCCGGATTGAGGTTGAGGTAAAGGATCGTGAGGGTCGTTACCTGTACGCTGAGACTTGAGCTGTTGATGAACAAGTGATTGTATGAAATTCCGGGACTAAAGATATATATACCTCAATGCAACACTTCATTGTCACATCCGGATATGTGATACGCGAGGTTTGACTCATGAATTCATTTCAAGAAGATCATCTTCGTCCGCCGGTATTATGGGTATCACTCTTCGCTTTTTCTTCTTCCTGTGCTTGATCGGAGTGTTAGGCTTTGAATCCTCCCCAGGTTTTCCCGAGCCTGCCTTCATTCGAACGGGTGATCTGGCCGTTTGGAACTTCGTCTCATTGAGCTTGTTATGCATGAATTCGGCCAATACATCCCACGACCATCCAGCAGCATATAGCTTCCTTTCCATCATATCTCTGGTAGCGGTGTCTTCCAGTCCATGTACAAAGGCCTTTGCAATCTTGCTGCTCTTGATCCACAAAGGCAATTGAATTCGGGTATCTATGGCATACGACCAATAAGCCCCCAGCGGTCTCGCATTTTGTTTGAAGAGACGACGCAAGTTCTCCTGGCCCTGCATGATCATTCCGTCGGACAGGCCTAATTGAGTACTACGTCGCCCTTCCATCGAACTAGACCTGGATGGCCCCCATGTGGTCTCAGACAGTGCCTGTAAAGAATTTCCCCGTTCTTGTGTTGAAGCAATGACATCTTTGGGACACGAGTCAGGAACAAGTACGTCAGACCCTACTCGAGTTATATCTGTTTTCAATCAGTTGACCAAATCAATAAGGTCCTTAGCACCACAAGCTCTCACCCTAGCCCAGACAACCTCATACATAGCGAACAGCAGGCCTGAATCAAAGGAAGTACGAGACAAATACTTACCACCATTGCCATGAGATCCTCTGATTAGCTCATTGACTCGCAAAGCACCTCTCTCTTGTGCCAGGATCGTCCAAACCTCATTCATAATCTCTGTCTTCATAGACTCTAATACAAGGAACAGCTCTTTCGAACGCATGGCAAACGCTTTTCCAACATTCTCAAGTTCCTCCTTCAATCTTCCGTTTTCAATATCCAGGGCCTCGACGCGCCTAAGCAAATTGTCGGATCCATTTGTGATTCTAATGTCAAGACTCTCGAGATCCTCAATGGCATTAGTCTCCACTTGCTTCACTTGTCGAGTCAATTCATTGACGGTTTGCTTCAGATCATTAATGGTATCTACGGTTGAGGTAAGGTCGGCTTTGGCTTTGTGGATTTCCTCGGCCAGGTGAATGTTTTCGCGCCGGATTTCGTGGGCCCATAGGAGTGAGGAGGGGGTTGATTCCGACTGTCGCGGAGAGGGTTCCATTCAGACTTTTTTTTTTTTTTTTTTATTGAGTAGGCAGGCTGGCTTCGATAGGTAGGCACTAGGCTAAATGAATTGGTAATATAGGAAGGTATCTAGGAGATGGAAGCATTGTACGGTAGAAAACTGAGTTGGGGGATGGTCATCCCATCAACACAACAAATTAGGACTAGAAACATAAATCATGGATGGCATTACCTCTTTTGTCTATTGTACTGAAGTAGGTACACAACCACCCCAACGTCATGATCATCTAATTGTCCACCCAAACTGCCTGAATGAACAAATCAATTTTTGGCCCGACCTTTCGATTAAGTATGTGCAGCATCCTTAACCAACCAGAGCGAGCTAGGTACAAAAAGGGAAAAAAAAAGTTGGAAAAAGGCGGAAGAGAAACCATGAATTACAGCAATAATTCGCACAAACATGTCGCATCTCCATAAGCAGGAAAACATAGGAAACCATAAACAGCAACGAGCAGAGGTATCCCTCTACTAGCTGCCGCGAGTAAAAATAAATGCTGGAGACACAGAAAGCCACTTTTGAAGGATTCTCCTTTGCCAAGAGAAGCACAACGATGTCATAACGCCTTTTCCACCGCAGCTTACCCTTGGACCGCTATTGGCAACTGCGATCGTAATCCGCATCGTGAGGTATAAAGGTGGGGGTGTTTAGATGAGGTCTATTGAGTGATTAGCAAAAACCAACATGAGAGAAAATTGACTTGGGAAAGACACTTACCAGCAACGTTCATGGGCATCTCCTCGATCTGGGTGCTGTAGAACTGCTCGATCTCACGCATCATGCGGACATCGTCAGCAGTGACGAAGTTGATAGCAACACCCTTACGACCGAAACGACCACCACGACCGATACGGTGAATGTAGTTCTCACGGTTAGCAGGCAGGTCGTAGTTGATGACCAGGGAGACCTGCTGGACGTCGATACCACGGGCCAAAAGGTCGGTGGCGATCAGGACACGGGAAGAACCAGAGCGGAACTCCTTCATGATAACATCACGCTGGCCCTGCTCCATATCACCGTGCATGGCGGAGACAGTGAAGTCACGAGCAGTGAGCTTGTCAGTGAGCCAGTCGACCTTGCGGCGGGTGTTGCAGAAGATGACGGCCTGGGTGATGGTGACAGTCTCGTAAAGATCGGAGAGGGTGTCAAGCTTCCACTCCTCCTTCTCGACGGCAATGTAGAACTGCTTGATACCTTCAAGGGTAAGTTCCTGCTTCTTGACCAGGATACGGATAGGGTCGCGCATGAACTTGGTAGTGACCTCAAGGACATCCTGGGGCATGGTGGCAGAGAGCAGGGTGACCTGGGTAGACTGGGGGAGGAGCTGGAAGATGTCGTAGATCTGCTCAGTGAAACCACGCTGTTTATTTGATCAACATCGGTGTTCCACGTGAGTTCGAGAACATGCAGTAAAACTTACAGACAACATCTCATCAGCCTCATCAAGGATGAAGAGCTTCATTTGGTCGGTCTTCAGGACACGGCGCTGGATCATATCGTGGATACGACCGGGGGTACCGACGACGACCTGGGGACCATCACGGAGAGCGTTCATGTCATCGCGGACAGCAGTACCACCAATACAAGCGTGGCATTGAATGTCCATGAAGTCACCAATGGCAACAACGACCTTCTGGATCTGCTGAGCCAACTCACGGGTAGGGGCGACAATGAGGGCCTGGCAGGCCTTCAGGTTGTTGTCGATCTTCTGGAGAGCGGAGATGGAGAAAGTGGCAGTCTTTCCAGTACCAGACTGGGCCTGAGCGATGACATCGTTACCTACATACGATCAGTTACCACTCATCCACTCTAAAGGATCGAGCAAAACCTACCCTTGATGATGGGCATGATAGCACGCTGCTGGATGGCAGACGGACGCTCGAAACCATAAGCGTAGACACCTGAAGAAACTCCGTTAGCACTTCCTGTTATCGACATCCTTTTCTGGTCGGACAAAAAGTGAATACATACCGCGAAGCAGCTCAGGCTTCAGGTCCATAGAGTCGAAGGAGTCGACGACCTCATCGTAGTTAGACTCGATCTGTCCTGTTCATTTGAAAAGTCTGGTTAGCCTGGATCCCGAGATATTGACGTTGGATGCTTTTTTTGTGTGGTGTGGTGCTTTGGTCTTTTTTTGCCCAACATCGAAGGGAAAAAAAATGACCAGCACCAGAAAAAACCCAAAAACGTTGGTTGAATCGACTGAAAGACGAAAGATTTTGAATTAGCGATAAGAACATACCCTCAGGGATCTCTTCCAATCCTTTATCGGCAGACATGATTGCGACTGTTGTAGAGAAAAGTTCACAGGCGAAGAACTGTGACCGGAAGACAGTGGGGTTTTGGGTGTGAACTGAGTGAGGGTTTCTTAGCGACAAACGATCCCAGTGGGGTGGCCGCCGTCGCAGAAAATCAAAGTCGGAAGAACTTTCACGGAAAGGAGAAAGACTAGACCTAAATAAAACAAGATCTAGTAGACGTGGGAGTTGAATAAATAGTTTATCTCACAAACAGTGTGGAATGGGAAAAGAAGAAGAAGAAGAAGAAAAAGAAAGAACAAAAAGAATAGCGAACCTTTTTTCTTTTGTTTCCTTTTTTTTTTTTTTTCCCTTTTTTTATTTTCTTCTCCTGCTTCCTTCCTTCAAGCCGCAAAATTTTTAATTTTTTTTATCCAGGTAGCGCCAATCAGTTCTGCCCAACGGATCTATACCGCCTTCCGCAAAAGCCAACCTACCCACACTTTTTTTTTTTTTTGCCTTCGCGTTTTGATTCGAGCCTGTCATAATTTTTTATAATTTTCTTTTTTTCTTTTCTTATTTTCTATGGCGGTTGATGGTTACTATCGGAAGTAGAGAATTTGCCATCAGCGTCATTCGATTTGGCCGGTTTATAGTTTGTCTCCCCTTTTAATTTGTCCAGGGGCTTTTCTTCAGACTGGCCTACTGTCCTTTGGCTCGTTCGCTTTCCTTGATATCCTTTAGGACCCATTGTGTTTTGTTGGCGGGCAGTATCAAACCCCACCAGAAAGGGAAGGCCTGACGCTTGTTTTCAAAATGCCGGACATCGCTTCACTGGACAACCACGATTTGGTCGGGCATGATGCCATTCCCGGTCATCCTTTGGGGGTGAAGCCCAGTGGCAATGCTTTGCTTGCCCAGGAGAATCTTCGTGCTACGATTGGAACGTTTAACCTGTTACCCGATGAACTGATCTTAATATTACTAGAGTTTCTTGATGGACGCAGTTTGTTACGTATTGGGCAGACATGTAAAGCCTTCTATGCGTTTACTAGAGCCGAGGACTTTTGGAAGTCTCTTTTCATTGGGTAAGATTGCTATAGATTGGAACCTCCTCTTTGATCCTTCTTTTTCCTTGTTTTACTTTGGGATTGTTTCCGATGTATATTAGTTCTAGGGCGGGATAACTGGGGATGGATTGTGGAATACGTGTGATCGTATAGGACCCGTGACATTACCCGTGCTATTGCAGCCTTTGTGTTATGCTTGTCGTATAATACTAGAACTTTAGTAGCTGGTCGTGTACTAAGATTGTTTCAGATCACCCCCCGCCTCGTTTACCTGGCAAGGATCATGGCGGTCTACCTTTCTCAACATCCCCCCTTCTAAAGCGGCCATCCTAGACTGCTCGACTTTGTATTCGGATGCCCTGCACCGTCCCTTCTACTGCGCACATATCTCTTTGAACCCTTACGTCACCAACATCCCGTCCCGAAACCAAATCGCTCGTCTCCCGAATCTCTCCCCGGAAGAATTCCATGAGAAATGGTCCGACACACCATTTATCCTGACTGAACCTGTCAAGGAGTGGCCCGCCTATCAAAACTGGACCGTTGAATCGTTGTTGTCGAAGTATGCGGACACAGTTTTCCGTGCGGAGGCTGTGGACTGGCCGTTCAAGACATATGTGGAGTACATGAAGAACAACTCGGATGAGAGCCCTCTCTACCTATTTGACCGGGCATTTGTGTCCAAAATGGGCCTGAAGGTCGGTCAGCGCGATGAGGAACCCGACGCCACATATTGGCCACCACCCTGTTTCGGAGAAGACTTCTTCTCCGTCTTGGGCAATGACCGCCCTGATAGGCAGTGGTTGATCATTGGTCCCGAGCGATCAGGAAGTACTTTCCATAAGGATCCTAATGCTACTAGCGCCTGGAACGCAGTAGTCCGCGGCTCCAAATACTGGATCATGTTTCCCTCGTCGTCCAAACTCCCCCCACCCCCAGGAGTGTATGTCTCTGAGGACCAGAGTGAAGTGACATCCCCTCTGAGCATCGCAGAGTGGCTTCTAGGTTTCCATGCCGAAGCCCGGCGCACACCGGGCTGCATCGAAGGTATCTGCCAGGAGGGAGAGATTCTGCATGTGCCCTCGGGTTGGTGGCATTTGGTGGTAAACATCGAGCCGGCCATCGCAATCACACAGAACTTTATCCCGCGTGCACACCTAAGCGCAGCTTTGGACTTCCTGAGTAACAAGGCTGATCAGATCTCGGGTTTTAGAAAAGACGTTGACAACCCTTACGAACAGTTTGTGAATAAAATGCACCAGGCTCACCCAGACTTGCTTGAACAAGCACTTGATGAGCTAAAAAAGAAAACTGAGGGCAAAAAGCGGAAATGGGACGAAATTGTCCATGGAAAATCAGAGCAAAACGGTGCTGGAGACTCATCTGAAGCAGGTGGATTCAGTTTTGGATTTGGGGATGACGGGAGCGACGTGGAGGTTCCCTGATCCACAGATTTGCATTATGACTGATGAACAAGACCAACTCCGGGTCAGAAATGCAAAGATACCATTATGTGATATGCAGTATATGCTATCGAGCGGCTCACCGCTAAGCTTTGCCAAGCTTAAAACTTTCCACTAATTTTCAAACGCAACAATTATCTGAAAGGGAATGATCAATGGCAAGCAACGGTCTTTGCAGCTGACATATTGTCTCCAAACACAAGATACCCTACGAATGCTCCAACGGCAACTGCAATCATGATCAACCCATTGTACGTCATGAACAGCAACCTGACCGATTAGTATTTAGATCAAGGATAGGTCACCAGAAGGGATTCGAGCTCACATGATAAAGAAACTATAAAAGACCTGCACGGCATATAATGCGGCCATGATGAGCTTTCCCCGCTGCTCCACAACCCTCCTGTTGTCCCTACCTGTAAGTAGCGGTGAGCTTTCGTCGCAGGAATGAGGAGCATGGCTTGAAGGGGCGATGGCCGGGGCAGATTCGCCGACGTTCTCATTGCCTTTAAGGTGTCAATGGAATGTGACTCAACCAAGCCCCCTGAAGGATTTCCCCCTCGAAATAGCTGTATATCGCGATGTAAAAGCAATAGATAAACTATAAGGCTTACCTCCCACAGCAGGCGTATTGAACGCATTCAAGCGTTGTGCATGCGCTGCCTCATACCGCCTAGTCAATTGTCGAATACCCTCGTAACCCGCCGTCAAAAGTACGATAACAACTAAGGAGACAAGAAGAGAGAAGGGACCGTCGACACGCCACTGGCGGAATATAATGCAAAGGTCTTTGGAGGACCATGTAAAGAGCATCTAGCGTTGTTGTCAGTTAGACCCGCCATAAGTGATTCCAAGTGCATCCCAATATAATGAATAATATAAGCTCACATTCATATTACACTGTCCTCCCATATCCATATCCCCATGCCCACCATGGCCATGGTCCATATCCATTCCCGAGTGGTGCATTGAGTGGTCCATCTTGTGACGTCAGCTTGGTAGCTTAAGAAGTACCGATCAAGAAATAAATCTTCTTATGTATACAACAGGAGACTATGTGAGAAATTATAGCACAAAGATAGCTACCAGGTATCTAGCGACAAACAGCAAGCAGAGGGTTGCTGACGCCATCACCTCCTCCCTAGATAGGCCGCCGCACATGTTCAACTGATCGACCGCCCGGCAATTCAACAATGCAAACCAGCCAAACACCATCGATAAGATGTGCGGCCAAATCCAGACCTTACCTCTTTCTCTCCCCGTTCTAGATCGATCAATCAGAGTCAATTGCGAGGAAGAACCGTGAAAATACAACTCGAGTCCAGCCACGAGCAACTTTACCTAGCCGTTTAGTATTTTGAATTCTAAACATCGCGCGCAAAGCGAGGCAACGAACATGACGGAATCCGCCCCTCCACCATCCGTCCCCAACACGGCCGCAACGCCGGGGGGTCCGACTACTACAAACCAATCCACAGCCTCCAATAATAATAGCAGCAATGGAACAGCATCAGCCCAAACTGGGGCAAACCGCGGCCTACCATACTATGAGAAACTGCGGCGTGAACTACGCGACACGTTACAAAAGAAGCGATTAATGGATAAAAGCATGGTATGTTACCTGTTGTGTCCATCCCATGCTGCTTGTTGTTACACTTCACAAAGTTCAGAAGGCCATTTCTTTGCCTATTGCAGTGCTTATACAGGCGGACGCGCAGGCCCAACTGGAAGATCAAATCTTCCGCTTCGAACAATCCTACCTCGAAGAAACAACCGCCGGGAATATCATTAAGGGATTCGATAACTATATCAAGGGCTCGTCCAGCGGTGCTGGTGCTGGTGGGTCATTAGCGCTTTCGGGAGGTGCAGGTGGCGCCAGAAGAAAGGCACAGGTGACTGATGCCGATCGTGTTTTCTCGAGAAGCTCGGCGAGCTTTATGCGGGTATGTTCTCTCTTGAAGTCGCAGTCTTGGGTAAGGCCCGGGGATCAATGGCTAATATTCATGAAGGATTCGACACCATCATCTGTTCAGACTACTCCGTCGCATGCCCCGACACCGACGTCTGTCAATGGATCGTCAGGGAAACCGAATGGCGATTCTTCCGCTCCAGGAAGTGTGAAAGGAGGATCGTCTTCGTCGAAGAATAAGAAAAAGTCAAATGCCAATAAGGATAAGAATGAAGATGATGATGAGGCAGGGGATAAGCCACCCACGAAGAGGTTGAAAATCAGCTACGGAAGGGATTGATCAGTCGATTTTGACGGGAGTTTTGAGTCGATTTCTTGGGTTTATCCTGCTTTACATATGGGATTACGGATCGGATTGGTGATGGAGCTCTAAGGCGCTGTGGCTTTGGCCTTTTGATTCAGTTAACGAGCATCTGCATGCGTTTTTCTTTTTCATATATTATAAGATATCCTTTGTATTATTAAGCGCATAGCTTATCCAAACTATCTCCAAAGATGATGATGCATGTATCACCGAAAACACTTGACTACAGTTGCAAACGGAAGGTAGCAACCTCATACGCCCTTAACTCAATGTCAACATCCGTGGTCCCATTACCCTTGGTAATGGCAAGAACTGTCTCATCATCCTCAAGTACGTTGCATTTCCAGATCTTTTTGACAGGCAACCTAGTATGAATAGTGCCCCGGCTCTTACCGCCAAGTGACTCGTAAATACGCAGGACAATGCTCTTTCCTGCGCGACGGGGTAGATTGTCTCGGGAAACGTCTTCGTCATCTTCTCCGCGCTTAACCACGTCCAAGATGAGCGATGGGGAGCCGCTGATGGAGATAGAGTTAAAGACACCCTTATCCCCAGAGCCAAATGCTGACTCAAGAGCAAGTGGGTGGTTGAAATTATACCCTGCTCGGATGGTGCGTGAATCAAGAGGCCCAGCATGAGGCAGGATGGCATATCGTATGTGATGACGGCCCATATCTGCGTGCGCATCCGGCGCTTTGGGTGCTCGGAGCAGAGATAGACGCATTAGGTTGCCACAGGTTGCAAAACCATATTTGGAGTCATTCAGGACCGACACGCCATATCCATTCTCAGACAGATCGGCCCATTTATGGCAGCACACTTCAAATTTAGCCATGTCCCAGCTAGAAAAATCAGTCAGTTCAAACTTTCATAGTGGACGGCGATGGGCTTACCTCGTGTTGTAGTGTGTTGGACGTTTGATGATTCCATACTGGGTCTCGTAGGATGCTTCTGTGTTTGTAATGTCCACAGGGAACTCTACCTTGAGGAATTTCATGGTTTCTTGCCACTCGACTTCACTCTCAAACTCCACGTATGATGGTTCATCCCCGGCAACAGCAGAAAGACTGATTGTTGTCTTAACCCAGCTGTTCTCGCTGATCTTGATTTCAGTGACCACACTGGCGCGATATGGATCATTCTCGGCGATGGCAGTTCTACTAGAGTGCAATTCCTTCCTTGACTCTAGATGGAAGACTTCAACATCCCAGGCTTGCCAATAAAGTGGCTTATCATCAAATATGACCAACTGCCCAGCCTTGCCGCCCTTCGCGATCACTTCACGATCCGCCTCAACATCGAATAGGGATATGATAACTCCATTGTGGATGTCCACCCTCAACTTCGTATTCTCAAGGCGGAACACCCCCGCCCGGATCTCCGACACGGTTACTCGAGAAGAAGTGACTGGGTTGACTCGATACTCCATGAGGCCCGTCTTCCCGCTAACCACGGCATACTTCCGGCGGTTTGCTTCTTCGAACCTAGGAGGGAGCTTAACAACTTCCGAACGGTGCCAAGGCAGAGTGTTAATCGCCACAAGGCTCTTGGAAGGCTTCTTGTCTCCGAATCCAAGAGCCTCAAGGGCTTGTCTCCTAACTTTCTGACCAATTTCGAATATCTCGGCATAAAGTTTGTCAGAGTCATCATAACACATCTCGATGGAACTGCCTGGCAGACAGTCATGGAACTGGCATAGGAGCACGCCCTCCCACATATCGTCTATCTCCTTCTTGGGATATCGATAATTGCCACTAGATTGAGTGACCGACGCAAGCGTGGCCAGATACTCGATCTCCCGAAGCAAGAATTCAGACTTGCGATTGTTTCGCTTGTTGTTTGCTTGAGTAGTATATGTACCGCGGTGTAGCTCGAAATAAAGCTCACCGTACCATGTAGCGAACTGTGTGCCCTCCTCAACCTTCTTCTCCAGTCTTGCGAAGAAATCGTCCACTGACTCACCCATCTTTACACGTGGAAGCAGGCCTGTCTTATCACTCAGGCCACGACAGCGGCGCAGCTTCTCCAAATGCTCGAAGGTCGGCCCACCACCACCGTCACCCTTTCCGAACACAAGAAGTGATGTGTTATCGTTGTCCATGGACTTGTGCTGCGTGACGCTGCGTTTCACATCACCGAAGTGAGCCGAGGCAGTGTATGTCTCTGATGGCGCCATATGGCACATAACCTGGCTACCATCGAGCGCGACCCACTGGAAGGTAGTGTGTGGGAAGTTATTTATATTGTTCCAGCTAAGCTTCTGTGTAAAGAAGCGACTCATGCCGGCTAGACGGCAGATCTGGGGTATCTGTGTCGAGTAGCCAAAGGTATCCGGTAACCAGAACGTTGTACAACGCTCACCAAAGTGGCTTTCGAAGAACCGCTGGCCATAGAGGAACTGTCTCACTAATGATTCTCCGCTGGGCATGTTGGTATCATGCTCAACCCAGCTACCACCGATAGGTTGGAAGTGGCCCTTCCTGACCCATCCCTTCGCGCGGTCGAAGACTGAGGGGTAGTATTGTTTCAACCATTTGAATTGCTGCGCCTGCGAGCAAGTAAAGCGGTGTTCTGGATACCTCTCCATCAAATCACACTGGTTTGACCATGACCGAGCCACTTTACGCTTAGTCTCTGCCCAGGGCCACAACCAGCACGTATCGATATGACAATGTCCAATTCCGTAGACTATTGGCTGTGTATCGGTGTCATAGACCTCCGATGAATCAACTTTGTCACCGAGGTATTTCCTGGCAATCTTACGTCCTTCCTTGATGGATTCTTGGCTCCCACTGCCAGCAATGAAAGCGTCCATAATAGCATTAGTTACCATGTTGGCTTCGTGAGATTCCCAGGAATCTCCTGGAAACTCTCGAGCAGCATCTACACGTTGTCAGCACAGCTAGTCAATGTGCACAACGGATAGATAATAAAAACAAAATGCAGGTTTGGATCCCATACCTCCGATAATCCAGAAATCATAGAACAATGCCCGCGCCTCAAGATTGACAGCTGTGATCTGTGCTTTTTGCAGGGTGAAGTATTTATCAGGAGCTGGTGGCTGAATTGAGTCCCCACCAGGTGCATTTCCAAACATCCCATTACAGGCCATTTCGATATAGAAGGTATGCTCCTTCCCATCGCGCCAGGCGTCGGGGATGATCCACTCGATACGCTCCCCGCCACCAGTCAGGCCCTGCAGTGGATGACCATCTTCAGTCCAGACTAAGCCCTCATTGTTCGCATCCCAATGAAACTCCAGCCGCTCTTTTTGGCGTAGGTCCTCTGGAACCGTCAGATGGATGCGGAACCAGTGAGTTGACCAACTAGGACCAAATGAAGCGCCGATATGCGTAGGCTTGAAGTCATGTGAAGTTGCCTCTTCAAACGTAGGGCGCTCCAAATTAGGGACCGAGTATACGGAGAGCTTAACATGCTCTTTGTCAGAGTTCACGGCTTCATAAAGTTTACTGTAGGGCATTAGACGCATGTACCAGTGACGTGACTAGGGACTATATTTACATACGAAACGAGATTCTGTCCCTCGTACTGGCCGTTAGCCGTAAACTGTCTCAAACGATCTGTATAGATACCATGAATTCGTTGACCGACGGGGCCGCTTGGAGCTCGGGGGAGAGAGCTGGAAGCTTGTCGCGGAACGTCTCCACCCATGATAACGGATCCGATCAATTGTGGGTATTAATTAAGCTTATCAGGATATCAAAGGGTAATGATGTCTGCATCAGAGCAGGGATAGAGGATGGGTGTCAGAAAGAGGGTCAATTGAAAGAGACAGCAAGAGGAGGAGTGGAGAGAGAAAAAGGCAGAGAGCTAATCGTTTCCGGGGTGGGAATCAGGAACGAAACAAGCAGGTGACGCTGTCTGCATTCCAAGTACTACGTAAATGCGGAGAAATCCTGTGACCTGGCGATTTATGGCGGGGAAGCCTCCAATCCGGATGAGCATGGAATGTGTCCAATTGGAGCCAAGAACCAGCACCAACATATGATATTTGACCGATATACAGGATTCTTTGGACCCCATTATACTAGGGGCACAAGTACAAAATAAGAGATATTATCATAGAGGAAGAGTATTACTAACAGTATTACATTTCCTAGCTCTGCCCGGAACCCCAAGGCAGTAAGAGAGGCACCAAGTGCCCCCTCGCATCCATTCAATAGAACAACAAATCGCTGGTGTTCATGCAACTATATCATAACTCAGACAACAATAGTAAAGGTGTATCAAATATCATGCACATGAACAGTGAATCAATCTCCCCAGGATTTTATCCATAACGCCTACCGTAACTACCGCCAGGATATCGAGAGAAAGGAAACCAAAAGTGTACAAGTAAAATCAGAATAAACGGGGGAATGAAAAGAGAGATGGAAGAAAGAGTGGGTAGGTAGATAGAGAAAACCAGAAGGTGAGAGGGGCCAAAAAGTGGATCAACGATCTAGACGATACAAGATGTAGTAAGACGACTGATCTGCTAAGATCACTAGTTATGCATAGTCATATCCAAGGATCAACCCGTCCGTAGGTAGTATATGGGTTAACCGGACCAATTAATCTGATCTTGGATTTCAATTGTCTCCGTCTTCGATCGACTTGAGCCTGAATTATCTTCTGCCTCGCTTCATCCAGCGCTATAAGGACATGACTCGTTCCATCCTGCAACACTCTAACGCAGAACCGTGTGCCTTGCTGTAGTGTAGAGCATGTTGATGGTCCGGTCCTCGGAGAGGTTTCATACCGAAAAGTTGAGGCCTGTTTCCGATATTTCGGAAATCTTACATTGCCTCTTTGCCGGTAACTGATCCTCTTTTCACGTCCGGGCTTCTCTCGCGTGGCTGGCCCATACCTTTGGTAAGCCGAGATGCGGACGGCTGGCTGTTTCTTTTGATAGGGTGTTATCGAGTTCACTATTCTGTCGCTTTCGTCCTCACTTGAACTGCTGCCCATTGACAGCCGTTTGAGATCGGCAGAGAGATAGAGAAAGTTCTGTTGCGGCCCTGTACTTCCACGATCGGAATAGTTAGAGTAGTTGCTAGAAGAAGTCTTCCGGGAGCATCGATATTCTTCCGGAAACTCAGAGGGAGCCGTCGATGCTCGTGGTCGTCGCTTAGGCTTGATCTTATCAATGGAGTGCTTGGACAGTCTTCGTTGTACGTAGGAGCGGATAGACTTGCGTACGTCATGGGCAAGTGCTCGCTTATCCGGTGAAGTACAGCGAGGACTTATCTTCGTAAAGTCGAATGCCGCTAGGTTCAATCGACTGTTATTCTGCTTCCGAGGTGCAGGTGGAAACTTGGGGTACCCAGGTGGCAGTTCTGATGGCATCGCGAGCTCTGGAAAGAACTCCCATTTCTTCTCTCTGAAATAATGGTTAGGAGCGGCACGTGGCCGATGACGGTGACGATCATCAGACAATGTGGTGAGCGGCAGAGGTGACGGTTCTGGTTTGTTATATGGTTTCACGGGGGAAGAGCGATCTATGCTAGAGATAGGAGAATGTTCGACGAATTCGTCCAGATCATCCGAGGGTGAACGAACACAAACTGGGTAACCTTCGGACGACGCATCAGATGTACGACGAGTTTCGAGGCTGACATCTGTGCTGCTGTCGTCGCTCCATCCCATCGAACTCTCCATTGAAGGTGTCTCAGGTAGTGGTTTCGCAGGCAGCTTGGGGAGTGGCTTATCCAACCGAAGTGCTGACCGAGCAGCAGGCTGAGGTGTAGGTGGAGGCACAACTTTCTCTAGTCCCTCGAGTGACCGAGACGGTCTCACTGGAGGAGCCTGTCTTGGGACAGCGAGAGAGGTCGGTGAAAGCATGGCTGAGATCTATATTTAAATGACGTTTCGTGACGGAGAAGAATGTTCTATCTGCCCCTTCCCCGAGGAAAGAGGGGAGGGAATCAGGGCAGAACAGCGGTGCGAGAGAAAGAGGTGTTGATAATAAGCAAGTAGTCCGAAAAGCAAGCAACCACTCCTGTGTCACTTTGAAAAATCGAATAAGGCGAGATTATGCCCGATAACGCCGTACGAGGCTTCCAAATTCCAGAGCTCAATATTATTTATTCTTCTTATCTGCGTCCAGGATGATGGTCACAAGACCCCGGTCCCCGCAGAGTCAGCTTGTGGCTCGAGCCCTAATCCTAGCCTGCAGAAGAATTCCCAACAACGGAACACGCGGGACCATTTTTTCTAAAAGAAATAAATAGGAAGCAAATAAAATGAGAGGGGCCTGGGGTGTGAGATAAGAAGAAATAGAAGCAAACAACCGACAAAGAAATTAGAGGTAATGTGATATAAAGGGATGGAGGATGCAGCTCAACGAGGCAGCCAGTTGGGGAATCATAATAACGCTCCAGTATTATTACCCACATCCCTGGATAGAAATGTCCGGAAATGGCGGTCCAAGAAATAAAAGACCCATCCAAAGTGTTGTGGTCTATTCGTGGGTCTCCTGCAAGATCGCCATGGTCGTGGTCATCATGGGCAACAATAACCTCATGGACCGACAAAAGGGTGACACACCCATGCAAGGGATACTCTGGGTTTTGCACCGCCTGCACCGATATCAACCGCCAAATCGACTATCGTAATAAATCGATGACGAAAGAGTTCATCCTAGAAGCATAATTTCTGGAACACGGGAAATAAACTCATTGCTAGACTAGTAGATAGGAGGTTATGTGGCATCTAGAAATGGTTGAAAGATCGCGGTGAAATATATCCGAAAAGGTAGTAGACTCGGAAGGTAGTGCCCGCAGCAGGGCAGCAAGGAAATCGTCCTTGGGTAGGATAATACCGTACTGAGTAGGTGGATCCGGTACCTACCGTAGTGCCCAGTCCCCACACTCTTAGGGGATCATCGTCCTTGACACCGCAATTCCCTTGAGGCCGATCCAAATGAGTGGAGCGTCACTGCACCGTCAGCAACCGGTATGAACTCGAAGAAAGTCGAAGGCACTAAACTTTGCACCAGCACTCGATCGCGTTAGACTCTCCATGTGTTCACTCTCTACAACAAAGAAAACATTCTATGCCATGCGCCGCCGCATTCCTAGTAGTCTTTTCGCCCGATATTAGTGACGAATGCGAGGAAGGCTAGGAATTGTATACGCGTGTTCTCTCGCTTTTCCTTTTCGTATTCTCAACAAGCTCAACTTTCGAGATGGCTATGTATCTGGGTTGTGCTGGTCCATATACGCCTAGAGTCCTCGTTCCCCACAGAATACTGTATTCATGACATACATGCCCTTGGATCTATCACATTTAGCGTCTTGCGGTGAGCACCGCTTAAATTTTATCTCGAGATTATACTTCGACTGACAGTGTCATAGCACAGGAACAAGATAGAACAGTCTAAAACAAGAAAGAGAGCCCCTCTTCCATATTTACTTCCTGTGTACTCCGTACATTAGACCTTTCTTCCGGATTCCAATGACTTGGAGCTGGGCCCGGATATCGTACAACGCTAATTTGGATAACCCTAACCGTCACCTTTAATTAAGTCTTCCGATTATAGTAAGTTAAATGTTTTTATTCAAATAGCTCAACTTTTTCTTTTCCTTGTGTAACAAGCAAGTTTCTTTGCCCCTCATGTTGGTCCAACAATTATGCAGCAGTATGGCGCATGAATAGACTATAGCTGAACTTAGTAGAAAGAAGCTAGCGTTGGTCGCTGTGATAGTAGTACCCGTTACATGCAGCAAATGTGTTTCGTAGTCCTAGATACTCCCATTTATCGCTACATTTTGCGTACTAATAAAGTGAAATCCAACTTGATTAGTTGTTCTCGGCTCTTCCAGTGACACATCGAGAAAGAGAAACGCTTGTTCGGAGCTGAAGTGCTCCGAGTTAGGCCATTTTTAACAATGAACTGAATTAAGCTTGATATTATGGATAAAGATTACTTGGAAGGTTACGGACTTGGTGTCAAACACTAGAAGCTCGATCATCCCGCAGTCATCCCTGAGATTCTCCATAAATAGCTGAAAGCTTGTTCCCAAACAGGGAATTTCACGAAACATACTCAGGTGACAGCCAGGCGCCTGACATCAGGGTGAGAAAACAATAGTCATAGAAATAAAAAGAAAGAAAAGAAAACAGGAAAAGAAAAATGGGAACTTGAGGATTATGCAGAACACGGTACATCTCCTGTGAGCAAACTTTTGCATGCACACGCTAGAAGCGAATGGTACTGCGTGCCTCACACATGGCAACCCAAGAATACGGACACTTTTCTCCATTGTTCAAAGGCAACTTGTCTTCTTGGCCTTACCCAATTTGTTTACGTTGAACGAGACTTGAGGTATATCCATGCAGGCTTAGCAAGCTATAACTTACCCACATGGCTAGACCTGCACTAGGCCCGCTGTGGTGGCAGTACCTATATTCCATGGTGCATGCTTGCGTCCAGATTTCAGCCTTTCAGTCATTAGTTCCCGTGTCGCTCGCGTAATCACGTCCGTCCTACCCATGGCTCCCTCAGGGATAATCCCAATCTTCTGGGTATCCCTGTGCAAGGAGCGAACCCCGTTCGTTAAGGCCGCTTAGAGCGGCTGAAAGAAACTGGCATTACTCTAAATGTGATTCGGATATATTTCGGGATAGGGCTCGATCAATCGTTGATAACTCAAATCCCCGGCCGAGGGAGCACTGTCACTGAGCATGGTTTCAGTTACTCTGAGCGCAGCTGACTTGCTCGTACTATCCCTAGTGAGCCAGGCTTCCGGTAGGGGGCAAGGGATGTCCACGCGAAGCAGAATAGGAGATAGGCCCGGACTTAACAGTAAACTTTCGTTTTGAGGTCCAACCCGTCACCTGGGGAATGTATCAGATCGGAGAACTGAACAAAAGAATAATGAAAGTCCCCGTTCTAAGACATAGATCAAGGGGTTTGAAAGCTACCATACCCAATTCGGCCCAGGGTTACTCTACCATGGAGCCTAGTACGTACTCACCCCAGCCTAACGATGAAATGAACAAGGTTACTATGTGTGTATGCATGATAGTCACTTTCTTATGTTCAGATGCAACCAATTGCTCATGGCAAAGGTCTCAATAGTCCAGTTAGTTTTGGTAAACTACCCTCTCAGCAAATGCCACAAAATCGAAAGAGCGCTGTTGGGGTCACTAAGCTCCAGATGTATCCAATAATCTAAACAGAAACGTGGCGATAGTTTGACCTGGCAAATCTTCCCTACGTACAGTATGGCGTTCTCACATGCATCCTTCCGGAATGCATCCTCCTGGACATATAATTAGCAACATGACCATCTTGTACTTCGTGTCAACCAACAAACTAGTGCTCTAGATCGTATGTCGCTCTTCCTGGCTGATCAACTCTTCAATCTATAATGTAATTTGCAGTAACCCATTGGGAAGGAATGCTACTAGCTGGAACGACGTTAGAAGAAAAGGGTGAGAGGCAAGGGTGAGTTGTTCTTAGTGTCGCTTCATCAATCACGTCGTAAAGGCCATAGCCCCTAGGCAGTCCGATAGATTTTATGATCACGAAGTCGAACACGAACAGTTGTGGAAGAAGCTGTAACAGTGACCAGAGCTTGAAAAGGACCCTATCTTGTGCAATGCTAAACGAACCTTGGATCCATGCGTTAAGCTCTGGCGTGTATGTCCACCCAGCACTGTTGAGCTTGGTGTCACCAAAAAAAAAAAAAAAAAAAAAGTAGCTTGTGAGATAAGGCGCTTGGCCTCTGATGCTTACATCAACTGCCGCACGCTGAATAGTTGAAACAGTGCAAGTGCAAACTCCCAAGGGGTGGCTAACGGGGAAAAGATCCGGAAACGCATGGTACAACCACGTGTGGCCGAAGTGTCAGAGGTTTTGTTGATTATCCTTGGAACTAACAAAGGGAATGACCAAATAGGATGAGCGACGAATTGGTTAGGGAGGTATTCTTCTGCTCTCAAAACACTAACCGCTACATAGGATCACTGCATTTCGAGTGACATTAATGCAGGAAATACTAATTTACTTTCTTTGTTCTTAACCTCATGTAATCGGCATCGGACTAAGTATGCCCTCAGAATGTGTGGTTAGCTACAAAGCAATTCTCGTTGATTCCAATATGTTCTGAAGAGAACGTGCTCTCTAGAGACCAGACGCAAGGTCTTCTCTGTAGGCTATTGTAGAGAGAGCGATGGGTCGCCCGTAGAAGATACATAAGCTCCCCAGCCACTTTATATCTTAATGAGGTTTTTCGAAGGGCTTTCAGTATAAAGCTAGTTATCTGATCCATGTCCTGCAAGTCAAGGCTTATATCTGAGTACCATGTGAGAAGATAATTGCAGTATAGCTAATGTAGGTAATCCGAGAGGAATCTTGAGTTTTCAAATAGCTTGAGAGAAAATATTAGCACATCGAAAGTCAACCTCTACAATCCGAGCGACGGCAGCGTACACCGTGACAACTCTATACTTCTCTGCCCTTAGCAATAGCCACCAACTCGAAGGATTTTATTCGAGAGTATAGACAATAGATGATTCAGTCAGCACCGGCCGGTGGCTGCGAGAGGCGGGAAGATAACACCTAAATTAGAACACGCAAACCAAGATGACGTGAGATTAGTTACTAGTGTCGAAATATGGCAAGCTTACACAATAGTGCTCCTTGCTTTTCGATCTGTGCTTCACTGCTTTCAACATAGTAAAATGGCTCTACTGGCTATCGGTCTTTTTAGGCACTTAGAATGCCGACGAAGCAATGAACTTGACCCAAATAACGACTGGGAAAGCCCTCATTCGCCAAGCTTTACGCTCCTGGTATATGTTAGATATGCAAGCACTTAAGCCTCCATCATGAAAGATATCATATTATCCTCCAGTTCATATGGACTTGTTCTAGAGACTGAATCATTATCACTCTGAGTATATCAAGAAAGGAATACCTAGTACAGGTGACGGATTCCAGAAAAGCTATGAAGCTAGGCCTCCAATATCACAATACCAAACGATATATTACTTCGGCTTGTGAGTAGGTAGCCTATTCAGCCATGTCATATTTCTACTGAAGTTTGCATGATGTTGTTGAATGATCACCTTATAGTGCTTTTAGGGAAAACTATAATATCCATACTCTGGGTGGCCCGCGGGGTAGAATACTATATACCATAATTAAGGCGCTTCTGACGATTATTATATTGTCCCCTCATACTGTCCTAGGAGGATTAGTGAAATTTGAGAAAGAGATCATCAGTGAGCACATGAAAAGAACATTGTCTAATTCTCCCTTGTCTCTATCACGTTGGAAACGATATGGATTTCAAGCTCTTCCTAGGAGCGTGATATAGGGCGTTGGGTATGTTGAATATTAGCTACTTCTTTATTTTTCCCTTCTAGTAATTCCTGACCAACGGATGGTGTCTTGTTCCTCCTTGGATATCCTCCAGTTGCACCCATGGAAATGTTGGGGGACAACGCATTCATCATCTAGACCCGGGAGCGGTCTAGAGATTGATTGGAAACCCTGTAAGATCATGCACCTGAATCCTCAGGTGTTATTGGTTCCTTAGGGGTAAAGCCCCATCTCCAGTGCAGATCCCGCCGCTGAGGGTCCAGAAGAACCAAAGAAACGCGGCCACTCAGCACTGGCCAACCATAGCGTACGACGCGTGCACACGGAGAACCTCAACTTCCAACTTGTCCTCAACATCTTCCCTTTCCTCGTTTCGCTCCCCACACTTTGTGGTTTTCGGTCACTCGTCTAGTTCTAACGGTGGTCATGCGCTTGGATCGTTGAAGGAGACTGGAGGACTTGGATCATTTGAGCGTGTATCGAAAGTTTGGAACCAACCTGTCTACTGCGCTCGTCCGAGTAAGTACTTGGTTATTTATATCGGTCTTTCATAGATCGGTATGGTACCCACTGGTTCTGAATTTCGATGTCCCTTCCCTGAAGATATCAGATCACCTGCTTGCGATATTTGATTGGGATTATAGATCTGGCTGATCACGCCTCGTGGACAATCATGGGGATGCTAACGTTCGCTCGCTTTCTTACTAGACCCTATCCTCACTACCGTGACGGCCCGACGATATTCTCTTTCCAACAGAAACTCATCATGGAGGACGGCGCCTCCTACTCTACTGGTGACTCGCCTGATCTCCAGGCGATCCCAAGTGATGACATGCTCTCGGACTTGGACGATGTTGTAGGATCCTCTGATAGCTTTTATTCGCCGTCTGGCACACCAAGAAGGCCTTCCTTCTCTTATCAAGATGATTGGGAGACTTTCCCCCCATTGGACAAGTTAACGGTCTTCGACTTGCTCGACAACTTTTCGCTGTCCCAAAAGCTTGAAAAGCTACAGCATACCATTACTATGCAGAAAGAAAAGATGAAAAAACAGCGGGAGAAGTTGAAGTACACCTCCGCAACCGCAAAGGATCGCGTGGTGGGAGAATGGAAAAGGCGCGTTCCTACTGCGGACGAGCAGCTTGACAAGTATCGCCGCCGTATGAAGGTCGGTGTTGAGCGCCTGGGAAAGCAGTGGAACGCAACCGCGACCGTTACATTACGTGAGAAGGTCTCGTTTATTGCCGGTGTCCTCAACATCTTCTTCAGTGGCTATCTCATTGGAGCCCATCCGGAGTCTTTCTATATCTGGTTCACCATACAGCTGGCCTACTTCATGCCGATTCGATACTATAGATATCACGCGAAAGGCTATCATTACTTTTTGGCTGACCTGTGTTATTTCGTCAACCTGTTATGCATGTTGAGTATTTGGGCCTTCCCAAATTCCAAGAGACTTTTCATTAGCGCGTACTGTTTGACTTTCGGAAATAACGCTGTGGCAATCGCTATGTGGCGAAACTCCCTTGTATTCCATAGTATGGACAAGGTTGTGAGGTAAGAGTCATGCTCGTTACATCTTCCGAACAATATTTTATCAACTGACCGGTATCGCAGTCTGTTCATTCATATTATGCCACCGGCAGCCTGGCATTGTATTGTTCACTTGACTTCTGCGGAGACCTTGAAGGAGAGGTTCCCTGCGATCTACGACATCAAGTTCAGTGAGCCTGGGTCACCAGACCACTTTTCGCTCCTGTCTATGATGGTCTGGGCGACGGTACCCTACACGATATGGCAGTTATCCTATCATTGCTTCATCACCGTGCGGCGTGCCGAGCAGATTGCCGCAGGACGCCCGACTAGCTTTACATGGCTCCGCAAATCGTATGCGAAGGCTTGGATTGGGAAAATAGTTTTAAGCCTGCCCGAATCATTACAGGCTCCTGCCTTTATGCTGATCCAATACTTCTATGCGATTTTGACGATGATCCCATGTCCACTCTGGCTATGGTCCCGCTGGGCTAGCGGGCTATTCCTGACTGCGCTTTTCATTTTGAGCATCCACAACGGCGCAACATACTACATTGATGTTTTTGGCAAGCGATTCCAGAAAGAACTAGAAGGGTTGAAAAAGGATGTCGCACGCTGGCAGTCTTCTCCTGAAGGCACAGCTAGCCCGACTATTTTGACATCAGACAGCGCTGTTGCCACTGGGACGCACATTTTGGATGATTCCAAGGGCACCGCAAAGAATGGAGTATCCGACAAGGCAAGCATTGATAAAATTCCTCTGCTTGACTCTAGCGTGACCGCAAGCGGTATAGAAGAGGCTGCTTCCGGTTCCCCGTCAGTGCGAGAGAGGAAATAGGTGGACTCACAGCTTCAAATACTCGTTTAAATGTTGTCGTTAGCGTGTTCCCCTCTTTTTGACCGGATTGCGAATTCTGCCTACTCATGCAATGTTGACTTAATGATACCCAACTTCCTAGTCAGTCGTTCTCTGTCATGGTACACTTTTTATATATAGATCCGCTCTTGTTTCATAGCTGAGGCCGCAAGTGGTTGTCTTTTTTGTTATGTACTGCCAAAGAGCGCCGAATAATATTGTTTTCTGTCTATCTTCAAGTTCCTCTATTTTTTTGGTGAGGCATTTAGTCGGACCCGGTAGTTTGTCGCCGCCGAGGAAATCGGCAAAGCTTATTGCGACCCCCGACTGATGAGATAAACTCCGGCGGCGACAAAATGTAAACTCCGAGTATCGCTGTCACGTGAACGACCGCTTCTGGACTCCAGAACTTGGGGAGAACGAAGACACATCATCACTCCTTTGAAATTCATGCCAATTCCATTTGTGTTATCTGCCTTGTGTGAGATCATATAACTTGCTGTATCATTTTGGTCGAAATTGTTGTCCCTGCCTTTTATACTTACTTGCTCTTTGGAGCACCTCCTTTCCAACGCCTTCCGTTATGTCTGTCAGCATTAGATCAGCTAGACTTGTGCGCAACAGTGCTGCATTGCGCCCCAGTTTGATCGGTACGCTTGTGTCGCTACTGCCCGTGTTGCTTCTATGTCCTGGCATTGCTGGGAAGGCCACCTTTTATGATGGCTAACATTTATTCTTAATCAGCCCGGCCACGCTTCACTGGTGCATTGGGCGCAACTTCAGCCGCCAATCTCCGGATCAATGGCCGAGGTCTCCCGTCTCACATACAAGTATTAGCAATTCTGGTCCCTCACCGTGGGTACGCTACAGAGCAATCAACTTCTACCTCGTCCTCATCGAGCTTTCCTCCGCCCGGCTTCAACGCCGAGCAAGCGAAAAAGCCCATCATTCCAGAGCCTGCTAAAAATGATCAACAAGTTGTTCCTAAATCAGAGTTACCAGTTACCCCGAAGAACAATGCTCAGAGCAAAGATAAGTCAAGTGACGCAGGAGCAGTAAAGGAGGCTGCGGAGGAGAAGAAGGAGCAAAAGAAATTGACGATTGGGCAAAAGATCAAGAAGGAAGCCCAGCACTATTGGGATGGCACCAAGCTTTTGGCCACGGAAGTCAAAATCAGTTCCAGACTAGCATTGAAGATGGCAGCGGGTTATGAGCTGAGCAGAAGAGAACACCGACAGGTTCGCTCCCCATCCCTTTGCTTCTACTTACATGCTGGGCAATGCTAATTGCTCAATGCATTTAGCTCCAACGAACGGTCAAGGATCTCGGTCGCCTGGTTCCATTCTCTATGTTTGTCATTATTCCTTTTGCGGAGTTGCTACTCCCTGTGGCTCTCAAGCTGTTCCCTAATATGTTGCCGAGCACATACGAGGGACAGAAAGCTCGCGAGAAGAAGGCATTGAACCTGAGCTCTACACGGAAAGAAGTTTCTGCTTTCTTGAAAGATACGCTCAAGGAGAGTGGTCTTCCTGTGACCGCGGCTACTGTCAAAAATGAGGAGTTCGCAGAGTTCTTCAAGAAAATCAGGACAACCGGAGAAGCACCTTCGACTGAGGATGTTATCAAAGTTTGCAAGGTTTTCAAAGATGACCTGACTCTGGACAACTTGTCTCGGCCTCAGTTGGTCGGTATTTGCAAGTACATGAATCTGAATTCGTTTGGTACTGATGCCATGCTCCGTTACAACATCCGACACCGCATGAGGCAGATCAAGCGTGATGATCGCGCTATTTTCTACGAGGGGGTTGAATCTCTTTCTGTGCCAGAATTGCAGATGGCATGTGCCTCTCGTGGTATTCGCACTCATGGCGTTTCTCCTGCTCGTCTGCGCGATGATATCTCGACATGGCTCGATCTTCGTCTCAAGCAAGGCGTCCCATCTACGCTTCTTGTTCTGAGCAACGCATATGTTTACGCGCAGGGTGGTAAAGAGACAGAGATGTCATCCCAGATTGAAGCTCTTCAGTCGGTGCTGTCCAGCATTCCCGAGGAGCTGTTCCATGAAATTGAACTCGAGGTACACAATGCCGAGGGTGCTGCCACAAACAAGCAGCGTCTTGAGGTCATTAAGGAGCAGCAAGAGCTCATTGAGGAGGAGAACGAGCAGAATAGTGAGAACGAGGAGAAGGGCGTCGCCGCGCCTAAGGATCATGAGGATATCGACGATAAGGAAGATGTCACCATCGAGGCCAAGTATCAGGGCCAATCCGGCGAGGCAGCCGAGGCAGTGGCCGAGGGCGAAAAGGTAGAGGAAGCACACTTGAAAGACCCATCGGCCCAGGCCAAGGGAGGAAAAAAGGAGACGACCTCCGCTTAAGGACTCACCGGATTTACACAGCATGACATAGACTTTCCTCCATCTGCCCTCCTTCCCACTCTTCTTCTTGTTTGTGTTATTCTTGATACGATAGACTACTCTCTTGTTTAATCTGTTTGATCATGGTCCACTGGCCTCTGCGGTTAGTTCTTATCTGCCCTTTGTCATATTACATGTACCTTTTATTATTACTATTACTTGGTGATGTCTGGCTCAATAGACACCCGGAAATTATGTGGAATATACCTGCTTTGATATGTGTTTGTTCCTCGCTCCTGACTTTTCCTGTGCTTCAAAAAAGGGTACAGCCTTCAACAAGACTGGCACAAAATATATTCATAGGCTTCAAGATATCATGTAGTGCTTTCCTGCATCGTAAAACAGTACGCATAATACGCCAGAGTGTTGCGGTGGGATAGTATACGAGGCTCCATAGCCATTGAAATCCATCGGCTGCTGACCATCGATTCTCCACTATAACCTCGGCAATCGTAGCATGTTGATGGATCATCTTCACTAGCATAATACCGACCCTCAGCGTAAGCTAGTTCCATATAGAACTAGTACTGGGACCTATCGCTTCTGCCATGCGAAGTCAAGCGATCACTAGAATCATCCTGGGTCCTCGCACTTTTAGCACTCAACGCCCGAGCCACTTACAGAAAATGCCACGTCTGAATGCCGTCTCACAGGTATGGCAGACCATTTGGAGAACCCATCTTCCTAGTTAATGCAGGAAGAAAACGTTTTCCGTGAATGAATCCCATAATACCTGTTTTTATGTTGTCTTGTGGAAACTTCTATTGTTTCATGAGTGATTTTCATCTACTTACATATTCTGCACCCCTGTTTTTGTTCCCCGCATAATCTACCGAAAGCATGACATGACGTATTTGGGCTAACAACAGTCGGCCCCATTACCTTTTACGCCAACAGGACGCGATAGATCGATTAAGATCGTATAAGCCACCACCGACCAATTATGAGATGGTCCCGTTATCCCGACGAGCGGCGGTTTTGCTGTTGCTCTATGCGGATCCTAAAGGAGATCTCCGGGTAGTTCTTACTATGCGGGCAAAGACTCTAAGTTCGTGTAGGTCATCTATAGACTTGGCTTAAACCCTGATGGCATACAATGGAATAGATCGAAACATCAAAAGACTGACTTAAATTTTATATATAGATGCTGGCCAAGCCGCGTTACCTGGTGGTAAGCAAGCCTGAGCACAATGACCGACAAACATGTATCACTAACTCAACACCAATCACATTAGGCAGGGCCGACTCACTAGAAGAAACCCCATTTCAAACAGCGCGACGCGAGGCGCACGAAGAGATTGGTCTGCCAGATAATGACAAGTCGCTCCCTCAGCCCTTTGTCGTGGAGCATCTCTGCGAATTGCCGGCTAATCTTGCGAGAACAGAGCTTGTGGTCCGCCCATGTGTAGCACTACTTCACTCATATGATGAGAAGACCGGCCAGAATGCTGACCCTGAAGTGACATTGATCCCGAAATTGGACGCCAGGGAAGTTGCGGCGGTATTCACGGCGCCATTTCACAATTTCTTACGCATGAGCGATGAGGGTAACTGGGGTGGAAGTCCATCCGATTGGTATCAAGGTGCTTGGACGGAGTGGCACCAGTCCAGTTGGCGCAGTGAGTACACCCTCTGGAAGATATCTTCCCCTATCTCTGTCTATTTGCCATTGCTGACTAGACAGTGCACCAATTCTTCGTCCCTGTTCGGCCTCAGTCGGTGGTCAAGCCCCGCACTGCCAGCAAACGACAGAAAGATGCTGCTAATGCTCTGGAAGAAAAAGAAAAGCCTGGTGTGTTGACACGTTATCGGGTTTTCGGAATGACGGCTCGAATGCTGGTGGATGTTGCGCGGGTCGCATACGCAGAAGAGCCGGAGTTCGAACATAATAGCCACTTTGGCGATGAGCGTCTTATCGCCCAGTTGCGGAAAATGGGACGGCTAAGTCCTCTCCGAAAGTCTGGGGATATTCTTACACGAGAGGATATGGAGAAAGCTGCCAAGCTCAGCTAATCCAGGCGATATATCCGTATGTTGCATGTACCTACGATGTGAATGATTTAATACAGAAAGGTGCTCACACACTTGGGGAAGCATATTAAGATTAGGATCAATGAAAGCATCACCCCTTTCTGAAAGAGCATGGGACTCATGTTGTACAGGTGCCCCTTCCATATTTAGGCACAGATACTATATATTTCGGGGAAATGTTCGATCAGACCACGAATATGAATCTTCTATCATCCACCACCGCCTCATAAATACTACCTTATCCTCTACCATTATATCACTTATACTTAGAAACAAATTCGATCGCTCCATACACACCGTTTTGCTCAACAGGCGTCCAGATGCCACTCAGGAGAACCATCCACAGCTTTCCGCTGAAGGTTCGCTATGACATTTTTATACTCGCTATGACACCACCTCATGCCGAATGGCTCGACCATCCAATTATCTACTTAAAATATGACCGGGTGGCAAAGGTCACCTGGAGGGACTTGGACCCAACTTATCACAGTCTCATGCTCACAGACAGAACGTGCGCCTGGGTAGCTGAGCGGGCTCTATTCTCCCACTTTGTCTTCATGTACGCATCGCCTTGGCCTATGGAACTACCACTCGGCCTTAGGCGGAATATAAAACACTTCGCCTACCGCCCGATGAAACTTGATCACGGTTCCTCTCATGTTCTCAACCTGACTGCCATTCGTCGACAGTTACTATATATCACCACAATACACATTGTGATCCCACAGAAGGCGGAGAGAGACTTGCATGGAATTACGACTGATGACAGGATATTGATGCATATTGCCCTCCTCTTCCTCATGCGCTACCGAGTCGCTATCGTCGGACAGGCCGAGCAGGACGGGCATGGGGACATTCAATCGGGAATGACCTTACGCCCAGTAAGGCATGCACTGAGTGGGGTAAAAGGATATCGACATCTCAATATGTTCTACCACCCTCATGGCCAGGCTGTGCGGAATTCAATCATTGAATTTAGCCGTACGGATGTCCTGTGGACGAGGGAGGAAGACCTTGGACTACTGGAAGACCGTAAACCAGTCGTTTCTCGCCTTGCAAACATGGTCCCAATGCTTAGAATGAGGTGCTATTTATCGCTTGCGAGTGCGTGTAGCGGCATTTAGGAGACAGGTCTTATGGCTTGAGTAGAATAGCTTGTTTTTGCTAGGATAGCTCTACTTATTTATGCATTTTCGTCTGTCATTAGGGTTGTGTTATCTAGCATTTTGCGATGCAGAGCTCTAGTATGGCAGATTGAGATCACAAGACTTTCTATGTTTAAAGGAGCTAAATTGCAGGATTTATCCTCAGATGGAAGCTCCTTAGTTTCTTCAATACAGTGTACATAAAGTGAGTAACCGGAACTTTCAGTTGGCTAGGCCAGCAAGTTGGGGAGCAGGGAGTTAGAAGCGTGGAACGATAAGATGAACTAGGGAGATGCTTGATACTCTTGAATTTTATTTGCTCTGTTTGACTGGTGTCGTACTTATAGTTAATCCTAGTTATTTATGTGCCTTAAATGTACATTGGTATATTTCCGATAAAGGGAGAAAAAAAGAAAGAAAAAGCGCGATGGAACAAGCTCGCGCTATGGGGTAGGACCCGTCAAATGTTTCCACTACTCGAAACCAACAAAGAGCTCCATTAATTTCATTAGTATCCTTGAAATGCAAGCGACTGATGCCCTTGAGGAATACTGTTCCAAAATCCGGTCTGAGTATTTTGCCCAGTAGGTTGTGTAGAGATATGTTGTGTAAAATAGCCTGGAATACACGGCCCGGTGGCATTGACGTCTTTCGATGCATATACTCGATTGGTCTCATTGGACGACAGCATGGACGAAGTCAGGTCGGAAGAATAAGTCGTTAGACTACTCTCTAAGGAGCTCTTTCGACTAATGGAGGGAGTTGAAAGCGGAGATAGAGGAGCGCAAGCAATGGGACCCAGTGGCTGCCTTGCTGGTTGGTTGTGCTCGGTGGAGGAATGTACATCGCTCTCATAGCTTGGCTTATGACAGTCGGACATGTCGGAAGCATCTCGCTTAAACTTGATACTGGAATTAGCTAGGGGATTGGAGCGGCCACTGGGGGGGTGCTCGTGCAACTCGGCGTCAGTCCCGGCCTCAGTCAGATGGACATGGGAGACGTGGATTATAGTGTCGCCGCCTGCTTCAGTGGTTAGTCGTGCCGAACCTCCTAGTAGCGAAGCATGATAAGGGAGCCATACTGATTTTGCCGTCTAGGTAGAGCTCTTCCATCTCTCGAACATAGTAAATCTCATCCAATACACGTAAGCGCTCTGCCGGCATGATCTGTCGCCGTACATCTTGTCCGGCATCTTTGAGTCTGTCTGCTGTTATCCCATGGCTGTCTTTCAATTCGCACAAAATATGTACAAGAAGCCGAATTCGCTCTGCATAAACGGATTAGGAATCAGTATGGCGCTTCCGATGAGAGCGTCTGGAAGGAATATGGCCTACCAGCTTTCAGAAGATGATCGGGCTCTCTATGAGTGACACCTGTAGGCCACCATTTTGGCTTCGTCAATTCTGGATCTACTCGCTGAGATGATCCCGCGGTAGTCTTTCGTCCATTGTATGGGTGGTTGACTTGTTTGCGGGGCTCGACTAATTTGACGAAGGCCTTTGCAATTGCTCTGCAGTTAAGCTGCTGAAAGTTCTCAAATGCTTTCTCATAGTAAGTCCGTAAAAGATCCTTTTGCCCAAGTCGAAGTGCTGTCCACCTGATCGTTGCGCCTGGAGAATCCGAGTCCGAATCACGACGGACATCGGAGCTCACGCGCCTGAGGTTACGCCTATGACGCTTGTTATGCAGTGACTGCCATTCGCAAGGTATCATCTCAGGCTGATACCAGCCTGCCTGATGGTGGTGGGGGTGTTGTTGTTGTTGTTGTTGTTGTAAAGTAAAGGGAGTGTTGGACAAAAAGGGTTTGACATCGCCATCCATGTGACTCACGGAATCTGCCGCAGAACATCATCCTGGTTATTACTATGTTCTTCTTATAATCCCCTCATCAACTACCTCTTCACTTACTGGCATGATAGCTTTGTAAATCAGACTGCCATCCGACCGTGGCCGATTTAAGAAACCTCTCCTTAACGTCGTTCGTGAAGATAGCTTTCTCATAACTCGCGATAGAAGACGAAGCCTCCACACCGAGCTCTCCATTGCGGTTGATGTATAACAAAGCGAAGTGTGGGTAAGGGAAGTTGAATGTGGTAGTCGTCTGCGAGCATTCCTATCCATGGTATCACATCAGACTGTGATGCGTCCGATTCATTGGGGGACTCTTGCTCATACCGGTGCCTTCGACCGAGTCATATCGTGATATGGAAGCATCTGTGGCTGCTCTTCTTCTTTCGCAGCCATGGGCTGACCTATCGCATCCATACTGTACTCTGGACTGGTCATACTCATTATACGAGATGAGTGGGATATCGCCAAGGGCTGTTTCTGTTTAAACGCCACTTGTTGCTGGTATAGTTTGAAAGAAAGTAAATACTCGGATGACAACGAGAATTAACTATTATAGGGACATCAAAAGAGACAGCTAAGTCATGGGGCGTCTGCAGCAATTTAGAATTCCAGGGGGAGTTCATTAAAACCATATCTTGAGCCGAGAAGAAGCCAAATATTATAGGATGAGGAAGAACAATACCCTTATTGGAGTACGCGGCCAAGAGTGAAAAAAGTACGAATTTTAAATGAACAATGGGTCATGTCAACACGACTGTGGCTGTTACAATTGACAAATTAATGCAAGGAAAACAAATACCTACAGAAGATCGAAGCCACCAACTATACACCTAAATTTTTATTATTCTATAAATGGGGACTGGGCTCCATCGTGGTGCATGACTAGGACATCATTTCCCCAAAAGAGAAAGCGGAGGCTGAGGCTATTCATGACGCCAAATGCTGCCAAGTCACACCAGAAGCATAGATGATGTCGAGTTTACTCCGTCCAGACATAGGGATGAAATGACGTGCTGTTATTCCCAAGACCTGACAGCTCGGTGGCCTGAATTACATTCCTTATTTGGGCGATGATCAAAATGAATGATGCAGTCTGTGGGAACGGAAGCGGCATGCACCGACAGTAATGTATATTACCATCATTTCGCCAAAAGCAACAATGGCCTGGACCATTCTGAACTACTAGTGTGTTCTGTTTCGTTGATAAGCGAAGACTTCAGCAAGCCTCATGGACCAGCGCCAATAGCAGAGTGGTTGAGCCCAACTCTAACCAGACTATGTTTGGTCAAACGGAATGATGATCTTCAAGTTCGGGCTCTATTACAGTGGTAACCCAAATATGTGCCTCTGAGGTTATGCATGAACATCCTCGACTGGCCGAGTCGACGAGGGTTCTACAATCAACAATAGGACTCGCACACACATAATAGAAAGACATTGGTCCGGCGCCCTTTCTACCAATCAGATAGCCCATTATTTGTCTGGAACAGTCCATCTGACACTATAGTGCGGGCTTTGACTTTCCGAAAGGATTTCCTTCGAATTTCCGCAGCACTGATGCCCTATTCCAAGTGGGCGTCACATGGTCCAGGGAAGATCTGAACGTCAACTCGAATGGAAAGAGACTAACGCGGCCTGTTTCTAGTTTCTCCACAAGGCCCGCTCCAAGGTTCGGTAATGGCGCCGGAGATCCTTTCAAACAGCGACTAAAGCCTTTCTTTTGAGACGTTATGAAGGTCCCTAGACTTGAGCTGCTGCTCAACATGCTACGTTCTGGAACTATTACTTGCCAGTGGGATTAGCTCCTTTTGTACCAGATCAACGTCAGTTGGGTTCAAGGCGTTACCTCCCAACAAGACCCTGTACGAAGATTGGACATCAAAGTCACAGCTTCACCGCCGATCGCTTCAATAAAGTTCACCTAAAAACGATAGCAACTCGAAAATGTTGAGATGATAGACGGTGCAGGAGGACTCTTGAGTCTTGACATGCGTGATAGATACTGTTCTTGGCCAGTAGAATGAAAAGGCCCGAGCGTGGCCGAATATTTATTCTTACAATGAACGATACAGACTGCAGTTCGTTCCTTTTGTTCCAAGGTATTTTTGGGGAGAGACATACACCGTCCCACCGTCCCACGGAGAAGATATCCGTTCATCACCATTGGGTACGCTCATCTCCGGCGAACCCCCACTGACATTTATGAATTAAGTTGTCTGCATTGAGGCACCTGAAAGACAAAGGGGGAGGAAAAAAGCTACATTGGGTCCTGGACAGGTTACACTAATTTAGTAGCTATTCAGACCATGGTACGCTGTCGGGTGGCACTCGGAAGATTCCTGCAGATGGTGACCAAGGGGGGGGGGGGAGTTGAGCCAAATGGCAAATTGAACAGTAAATACCTCCTCTCCTTTGCGGGGAAAAGTCGAATTTTCGTTTCTTTGTTTCTAACTTGCTTTGATTGATGGACGGGTGGCAAGTCCGAATTACTACTGCGATATGATGACAGGGGAGCCATGGGCATCAAGAACAGCCACGTACGCAAGCACCGAATGGTGGCCATACTGAGAGCTACCGGGGATGTGGCACTCTGCAGGATGGCTTGCAGATAGGAGACCCGAGCGACACCATAGTAGCGTTGCAAATTGAGAGTCAGAATCGCGACTGGCAGACCTTGGGCACTTATGGTGCCTTGCCAGACATTGTTGGGTTTGCTTATTTCTAACGGTATTCATAGAATGCCAGTCGATACGAGCCGACACTCCTAATCACTCACTCATCTTCTCAAAGTATGGTTATCAGCAGCACTAGTGCAGCTTAAGCACCGACAGAAATCGATTAATCCATTTGGGGCCTGGATACCTGTATTCTGGCCCTCAAGTCCAAGCCAACTTATTGGGCCGTGGATTTATGAGATATCGAACCCACTAACGCAGATCGTCATGCTCCCACACCGACCATTCGATGAATAACCTCCTGGTTATTGCCGTTGCATACTAGCTTAACGATGAAATCCCGCTGGTACGGACGCAATCGGTAGATGCATCCTTATGAAAAGTACGAATTACAGATGGCATTCAATACTTAATTTATCCCACAGTACACTATTGCTCTCGCATTGCTGATAT